CCCAGCCTCTGTTGGGATGCCTGAGCCCTGGTTCTTGGTGGTTGCCATCTAGAAGGATTCTGGGTCTCTGGGCTCCCTGAGTAGCTAGTTCTGGTGTACACCACACCCCGCTTCAGCTCTCTGCCCACACCCCTCCAGCATCACCAAATAACGGTCATTTCCCTCCTGTCTGTCACTCTGATAGAGGGGTGGGGCCCGTGTGGAGTGAGGCTGGGGGTGGAGGTAGAATGAAGGCAAGGGTGGGGAAGGGGCGGGAGTTGGGGATGAGGACCAGGAGGAGAGGTAGAGGATGGAGCTGGGGTCTGGGTGGGGTGGGACCTGGTGGAGGTGAGGAGGAGGAGGGGTAGGGTGGGCTTTGCAGTTGGGGGTGGGTCGGAATCCCAGGGGACACCAACCTCCCAGGACTGAAGAAGGGTGAGGTAGGGCAGAGGACAAGGAATCCACACCTTAGATCTGCCCACCGCCAGGCCCACACCTGAACCTTCTGCTCCTACCTCCAGGGCCGGGCTCGCCTGCATCCCTCTCCTGCCTCTGCCCTAATCCCTCAATTTTCCGCATCTCTGCCCCCTCCTCTCCTTCCTCCCAACCCGGGGTCTCGGGTGCAGCCCTCGCTCTCCCGTGACCTCCAGCTTTCTAATCGACTTTGTTTCAGACTCTGGTTCGCTCCTTCTGCCGTGTTTCCCCACCTCGATCTCCCCTGCCTGTCTCCCTGTCTCTGTCTCTCTCTTCTCTCTGTGTGTGCATGTGGCTCCCAGTCCACTTCCTGTTTCTGTGGGACCTGTCCTCGTCCTCTGTGTCTCTTTGCGTCTCTGTGCCTCCCCCGTGGGGTTCCCGCCTATCCCCCTCCATCTCCCTCCGAGGCTCGCTCCTGCTTCCTCTCTGTTCTCCATGTATCACGCTCCAGCCCCTCGGTCTCTCTTCCTCCCTGCATGTCTCCCCTTCTCTGTGCCCCCCACCCCAGCCTCCAGCTCCTCCATCTCTCTGGGTCTCTGAGGGGAGGCAGGGTCCATGGTGGGGTCGGGGAGCAGCCAGAGCTCCCTCCGCCTGGCGGTGGCGCCTCTGCCCTCCCTCTCCCCTCCCCCAGAGCTGTTTGGTAGGCGGGGTGCGTGGCACTGCGGCTCCCACCTCCCCGGGGACGCTCCCTCACCACCCCCCAGCTGACACCGTTCGGAGCGCTGTCCGCAGCCCCAGGGACATCAGGCAGAGACAGATTCAGGGAGAGAGACAGAGATGCAGAGACACACACACAGGGCCCGAGGCAGAGACAGAGACAGAGAGGGAGAGATAGAGGGAGTGGGGTGTGGGTCTCTGCCCTTGCCCTCACCCACAGGCCTCTCTGTCTCTGGCCTGGAGCCTCCTCACCTCTCAAGTGAGGGTCACAGACACACCTTCCCCAGCCTGGGAAGCCAGCCCTGTCTGCCATTCTGTCCCTCTGTGTGTCCTGCACAGTGCAGTCGAGGCAGAAGACCGTCTGTGTGTGTATGTGTGTGTGCGCGTGTGCGCACGCAGGTGCACATGCACATGACTGTGTGACTTGTGTCACAGTGTCTGTGAATGTGACCTGTGTAGACATGCATGTTCCTGGGCACAGGTGACTAAGTATGGGTGCCGAGTGGAGTCACACATGTCCTGTCTGTGAGCGTGTCATGTCTGTGTGACATGTCTGTGTGACACATGTGTGGTGTTCAGCTGTGTCTGGTGCGACTGTCCAAAGCTCTGGAGTTGTGCCGTGTCTGGTGTTTTCACGTGGTGTGGCTGTGCAGGATGGGCCCCAGGGACCTGGGGCAGCTCTCATCTCTGAGGGCAAGATGAGGAGGTTCAGTCCCAGAGAAACAGGGTGGAAGGACCGAGCGTGCGCGCCCCTGAGAGGACCCTGGCAGCTGGGCTGGTGAGTGTGGGTGTGAGGGATGCAGCTAAGAGCCCCCCAGATCTTATGTGTCACAGACCAGCTGTGTGTTTGTGTGGCGCTGTGTTGGTGTTCAGGGGTTGCTGTTGCGTCTCTGAACTTGTGGGCTTGTGTCTGAGTTTGGGTTCAGATGTGGACGTGTGTGTGTGCGTGTGTGTGTGCGCGTGCGTGCCTGCGTGGCAATTTGCGGGAGCTGAATGTACCAGCTTGAGTGTTGGTTCATAACAATTGATACTGTGTGTCCAGCCCTGAAGAGCACTGATGACTGTTTGTGTATGTTTGTGTATGTTTGTGTGGTTGCATGTTTCTGTGTGGCTGTTGGATGGCGCATGTGTGTGCAACTTGTATGAACTTGAATCCAAGTCTGTGTGTGAAGCTGTTTCTGGTGTCACCCTGTCTGCTTCTGTGTGTTTTCTGTGGGTCTCTGTGTTAAGGGTGACTGTGGTTTTGTGTGTGTCCAGGTGGGGATTACAATGTGTGGTATTGAGAGAAGTAGTAAGCTGCGAGTGGTGTGTGAGTGTGGTGTGTGGTATGTGGGTGATGTGTGTGGTATGTGTGTTGTGTGTGGCATGTGGTGTGGTGTGATGTGTGCGGGTGTGTGTGTTGTGTATGTGGTGTGATGTATAATAGTGTCTGTGGTATGGTGTGTATGTGATGTGTGTGGTGTGTATGGTGTGTGTGTGTGGTGTGTGGTGTGCATGTGGTGTGTATGGTGAGCAGTGTATGTGGTGTGTATGATGTGTGTGTTGTGTATGTGGTGTGATGTATAATAGTGTCTGTGGTATGGTGTGTATGTGATGTGTGTGGTGTGTATGGTGTGTGTGTGTGGTGTGTGGTGTGCATGTGGTGTGTATGGTGAGCAGTGTATGTGGTGTGTATGATGTGTGTGTTGTGTATGTGTGTATGTGGTGTGTGGTATGTCTGATGGGTAGTGTATGTAGCGTGTGTGGTGTATGTGAGAGTGATGTGGTGTGTGTGAGGTGTGTATGCAGTGTGTGGTATGTGTGTGGTGGATGTGGTATATGTGGTGTGGATGTGTATGGTGTGTATATGTGTGGGGTGTGTGTGTGATGTGTATGTGGTGTGTGGTGTGTATGTGATGGGTAGTGTATGTAGTATATGTCAGGTATGTGAGGGGTAGTGATGTGTGTGTGTATGGTGAGTATATGGTGTGTGTGTGGTGTGTGGGGTGTGTGTGGTGTGTATGTGGTGCATGTGCGTATATATGTGTGTGTGTGATATGGTGTGCGTGGTGTATGTGGTGTATACTGTGTGTGTGTATGTGGTGTGTGGTGTATGTGGTGGGTATGTGTGTGGCGGGGGTGTGTATGTATGGTGTGTTTGTGGTGTGTGTATGTGGTATGTGTGGTGTATATGTGGTGTATATGTGTGGTGTATATGTGGTGTATACGTGTGGGGTGTGTGTACACCCCAGGCACAAAGTCACCCCCAACCAGGGTCAGGCCAGAGTATTTGATGTGGGCAGTGTGGGAATGGGGTGGCGTCCGGGATGAGGGGGGCATGCCCATGCAGGAAACCCCACATCACCCCTGAACCCCCTCCTCTCCAGGACAGGCACAGGGTCTCCTGGTACCTGTCGAGGGCCGGCCCCTGAGCCTGCTCTGTGTTCACGTGGACGTGGCCACAGTCTGGACGGACGGGTGTGTGAGCACACACACAGTCTGTGACCACAGAGAGCCGGCTTCGTGCACCCAGATGGGACGGTGTTGGGGGCTCGTTTGTGTGGCAAGAGATGGGTGGGGCTGGCAGCGGGCCCATGGCTGGGGCTGTGCATGGTGTGTGTGTGCCTACTAGAGGGTGTCGCTGTGGGTCTCTACTATGTGCACAGATGTGTCCTACATGGGTGTGTGGCGTAAGGAGGGACATGTCCCCAGATTGTGCCTGAACATGTGGCCATGGGTGGGTGCAGTCGGGGTGTGTGCGTGCGTGCGCGTGTGTGTCAGGGCATGGTGTGTGCATGCATGCGGGGGCGGCGGTGGGAGAAGGGTCTTGGGCCGCGTCTCTCTCCTCTTTAGACAGAGCCCCGGAGAAGATATGAAATTTAAAAAAAAAATCAATTTTCATTCCACTTGTGCAGATTGTGTTAAGGGGAGGTGGGGATGGGGGGCCTGGGTGAGGGATGAAGGGGCTGGGGGGCGGTGCGAGGCCCGAGGCGGCTCCTGAGGCCGCCGGCGCAGCTTAGAGAAATCAAAACAACTGGTTAAACCCCAGCCCAGGGGGCCGGGGTGATGGGGGGTTAGGAGACAGAGGCAGAGAGAGATGACAGAGAGCCCAGAGACAGAGAGGGACAGAGACAGACAGAGACAGAGAGAGGCACCCAGAGAGAGAGATGGGGGAAACAGAGACACTCAGAGATGGAGATATTTAGAAAGAGAGGCAGGCCAAGATGAGCAGCAAAGACCCTCAGTGACAGAGACAGACAGACACGCCAACACCCGAAGGAGCTGAGAGAGACCGGGAGACCTTTGTCTCGAGAGACAGCCACAGAAGCGGGTCTGAGACAAGGGCACGTGTCACATACACGCACACACACACACAGATCATGGACCCATGCAGAGACATGCTGGGAAGTCCACAGACGGAGGGACAGGCAGACAGATGGGGATGGTGGGAGCAGGAGTGGCAGGGGCCTTGGGTTGGGGTCACCGCTGAGTGCCCACCCTACCCAGTGTGTCTGGGTGTGTCTGTGTGTACCTCTGCAGGGGCCGCTGTGTCGGTCGTGGGTTTGGGTCTGTGATCTTGGTGTGTGTGATTGTGACTGTGTCTGTGAATGGCTGTGTGTGTGGCTGTGTGCGTTGGCTCTCTGGGTTGGTGCTGGTGTGTGTATCTCTACGGCTCCATGCATGACCAAGTACATATGTATGCGCTGGAGGGTCGGTGGTGCTTGTTTGTGTGACTCTGTGTCTGTTTCTGTGTGCTGTTGTCTCAGTGTGTGATTGTGTGCTTGGGAATCTGGGTTTCCGTATTTGATTGCGAGCCTCAGTGTGTGTTTATGTGTCTACACAGTGTGTCTAGGATTTGTGATTGTGTGTCTTTGTTTCTGTGTGAGTTTGAATTGGTGTGTGTCGTGTGTATTTGTGTAAAATTGTGTCTGTTTCTGTGTGTCTGTGACTATGCTGTGTGTGACTGTGTGATAATGTTGGTGTGTGACTTTACTGACACATGCAACTGTGATGTGGGTTGTGTGTGGCAATGGTGGTGTGTGTCTCTGTGATGTGTTGTGTGGGATGTGGTGCTGTGTGTGACTTTGTTGACATGTGGGCTCCTGCGGTGTGTGATGGGGTGTGTGTGTGCTGGTGTGTGCATCGGTGCGATATGTGCTGTGTGGGACGTGGCGGTGTTCGTGCCTGGGTTGGTGTGTGGGTCTGTGTGGTTGTGCTTGGCAGGGAGAGAAGGGAGGAGGGCCCTCGCCTGCCCAGCGCCTCTGCACACCGCTTTGCTCACATGCGCACACACATTCGGTGCCATGGCTGCGGGCGGTAGAGATGGGGGGTGAAGGGGGGGTGGAGGAAGCAAAATAAAATTAAAAATTAAAGCTTGCCTGGAGTCCCCATCCGCACCGCGCCGGCCGGGAGGGGCGGGGGGTTGTGGCTGCTCCCCCTCCACAGCCACTGGGGCTGGGGCCGTTTGTCCATCTGTCTGGCCGTCCTACCAGGCCCTGTTCGGCCCTGCAGCCCCAGGCCCCGCAGGCCCTGCTCCCTCCATCGGTCGATCAGCGATCAATGGGGCCAGGGGGGCGCCAGGGGCAGGGTGAGATCAAAGGGACCCCAAGAGACGGACACCGGGACAGAAACAGAGACAGAGACATGGAGATGGAGACAGAGACACAGAGACAGGAAGATGGGGTATGGAGACAGATGAGACAGAGATGGGGGACATGGGGACAGGACAGGGACTTGAGGAGGAGGAGATATGGAGACGTGGAGACAGAGATGGGGTGTGGAGACTCTAGATATCAAAACAGAGCCATGCGGAGACCCAGAGATGTGGGGACCCAGAGACGTGAGGACACAGAAGTGGAGACGACGTGGGAACCGAGAGACAGGGAGGCATGGAGACCCAGTGACGGGAGGGACAGACGGACGGGGACAGGGCGGCAGAGGTGATGGACATGGGCAAGAGGTCCAGGTCCCTGTGGGGCCTGACACAGGACCAAGGCTGGGCACAGAGACGGGGAGAAGTGGCCACAGAGACCGCGAGATGGCAGAGATGCGTGTGAGACACGGCGGGGGGAGCGTGGGAGCAGGGCCCGGAGCGCCGATCCCACGGCTCCTCGTTATAACGTGTCCGGAGGAGGCGGCGGGGAGTTGAAAGCGTCGGGAAGAGAAATCAAAACCAACACGGAAATGAGAGGGGCCAATAGGGGGTGGGGGCGGGGGGAGGAAGGAGGGGACCCTGAGAGGCAGAGAGAGCGGGGAGGTGGGAGAGCGATGGGTGGGGGAGAGGTGTGGGGGAGCGGGGCTGCTGGAGAGACGACGCGGGACAGGGAAAGGGTGGGGGCAGAGACAGGAGAGACAGAGATGGTGGAGGGGGAGGAAGAGACAGAGATAGTGGAAGGGGAGGGAGAGACAGAGACAGAGATGGTGGAAAGGGAGGGAGAGACGGACAGCAGAAATGGGGAGAAAGTCATAGAGAGACAGAGATGGACACCCTGGGAAGACGGAGAGACAGACGGGAAAGAAGCAGGGGTGGGAGACGTAGAAACAGGGAAGAGACTGAGTGGTGGAGGAGGAGATGGAGAGAGGGGGAGAGGGCAGTGAGGTGGGGAGAGAGACCCCCTAGGTGGAGGAGAGAGTCAGAAATGGAAGGGAGATGGTGGGGGGAGACCGAAGGCAGAAGAGACCAAGTGATGGGGAGAGACAGAGATGGAGAGGGAGAGATACCGAGAGACAGGGGGCAGATGGAGAAAGATAGGGAGACAGGTGTGAGAACAGAGGGGGCCTGGGACAGGGGAGGCTCCAGGAGGCAGATGGGAGGTGGGGGCATCTGGGGTTGGGGCCTCTGTGGGGAGACCGGGCGAGTCTGAGGGGACATGGGGTGTCTGAAAAGTCTTGTTGTGTCCAGGGGTAGGTGGGGCTCATGGGGGAACACAGTGTGGGCTGCCAGGGTCTGAGGGGTTTGGGGGGGCATGGGAGCAGTGGGGAGTATCAGGGTGTCTAAGAGGAGTGGGTTTTTGAGAGCATCTGGGGGGTCTCCAGGAAGAAGGTGCTCCAGAGGTGGGGTCTGAGGGTGGCAGTGAGGGGCTGAAGTGCCTGGGGGGAGGGGTCTCGGGAGCGCGAGGGCAGCGTGTGTCTGCGGAGGGGTGTGAGAGGGAGTGGATTCCAAGGGTGTGTGTGTGGAGGGGAGGCGCCGCATGAGGGGGAAAGGTGCGGGGAGACTGGAGTGAGGAGGGGATGGAGTATCTTAGGGGCGTAAGATATCTAGGGAGAGGGAGTGTCTGAGGGAGGGGGTTTGAGGGGGAGGCAGATGCGAGGGGAAGGGGTGTCTGAGGAGGGAGGCAGATCCAAGTGGCAGGGGTCTTCAGGGTGAGCAGCAGGTCTGGGGTCTGTGGAGGCCTCCTGCGGGGCGCTGGGGGCTGCCCTGTGGGGTAGGGGACTGGAGGAGGCGGGGCTGGGCCTGCCCCCTGCAGCCTGTCCTGGGCCGCTGCGGGTCGGGGCTGCGCAAGGGCTGGAAGAGCCCGCCTGCGGGTCGTCCGGGTGGGGCGGGTGTGGGGGCAAGTTTCAGAGCAAGATAAATCTGGGGCAGCCAGAGAGAGAGAGAGAGGGAGACCCAGAAACGCAGGGACCGACCGACCCGGGAAGTCAGGCGGGAGAGCGGGGACGGGAGACAGCAGCAGAGACTGTGCGGGGCGCGAGCGAGCGGGCGGGCGGGCCTGAGAGCCAGCGAGTGTGAGAGCGTGAGCGAGTGGCGGGGAGCGGGGAGGGAGGCTGGGAGCGGCGTGGTTAGTGATGGAGGCACCGAGTGAGGAGGAGGCTGCGGGAGGAGAGGCTGGGAGGGAAGGAACGGGGTGCTGGGGGCTCGGGGCTGGGAGCGGCTGGTGACAGAGCGGTGCCTGCGGGAGGGAGTGGGCAGAAGGGATTGCGGGGAGAGGGCAGAGGGCTGGGGTGGGGACATGGGAGAGGGGGAGGTCCCGGGCAGCGCCCCGCTGGCTGACCTGTGTCTGTCTCTCCTGCCCACCCCGTCCCCGTGTGTCCGTCCCGGCCTCTGCAGGGCCGGCTCCGCCATGGACTGTAGCTGCGTCTCCGACCTTCTCTTCGCCCCGCCCGCCCTGCCGGCTCTCTGGACCCCCGGTAACTGGCCCGGACCTCCCCCATTCCTTCCCCCACCCCTCAGGCCTCCCCAGTGAGCCGCACCCCCCTTCTCTCCGTGTCTCCACGTGTCTCACTCTAGTCCGTGGGTCCTTCTCTCTCAGTCTTGGTCAGAGTCCCCCAAATCAAACCCCTTCGGAGAAACTTGGCTAAAAACTTCGCAGCCAGATTACCCTGCCACCTGCCTGCTGGGATATGTGGGTCTTCTGGGAGGGTGGCAAGGTAAGGAGGTGAGTGAGGGGTGAGGACAGAGGGGCCCGAGGCCCGGGCATCCCTGCCATGCACCTCTCAGCCTGCTCCCACGCAAGTCCTGCGCGGAAAGAGAGCAGGGACTGGGCTGGAGGGGGCACTGAGGGGTTTCCGGGGAGGGGGAGCATGGATGGACAGATGGACAGATGGCACTGCCCAGTCAGGGGGACGTGCAGGCATGACCCAGCCAGCCCGAGACCCAGGAGAGAGGACAGCTTGCTCAGAGTGGAGGTTTGGAACTGGGGGTGGTGGCCGGTGAGGCTGGTCAGACACCATGCCCATGTGCAGCGGGAGGGGGTGTGTGTGAGAGACAGAGACAGAGACTCTGTGCTTGGTTATTTGGGGTCTCATTTCAGAGTGTGTCCCTGTGTCACACTTCAGTGTTTTTAGAAGGGGTCACACTGGGAGAATGTGTCTGCAGAGCCTGTCTTTGTGTGAGCTTGTGTATTTGCTTGTACGTGCCCATCTAGGGCTACTTGAGTGTCTCTGGGCTGGGCGTGTCTGCATTTTGGGATGGGGGTGTCTGCCGGCTCGCGACTGTACCTCTGACTGAGTAGGGTGAGGAGCCTTTGCCTGTTTCTTGCGGTCTGTCTCGTGGTGTATGGCGTTCCGAATGGATGTCTTGGTGCATTTGGGGCTGTGGGGGGATGCGTCCATGGGCCTGTGTTGGGGGCTGTGTCTGGTTCTGTGTAGGGTCCATGTGTGCATGAGTGAATTCTGGGGGTTTGTCTGTCACATGTGTGTGTCTGCCTACTGAGTTTGGGGGTCTTCTCTCTAGCTGTGCCTGTGCCTCACAGGTACGACATATTTGAGGGTGTGCATTCAGAGACAGATGGAGTGTCCGGGTTGGGTGTCCCGTTGTCACCTTGGGGTCCTGTGGGTGTGTCTGTGATACAGTTGCATCCCCAATAGGATGTGTTCTGGGTGTGGAATGGGTCAGAGCTGGAGTCTGGATCCAGCCCTGTCACGGGAGGTGAGAAAGACCCCAAAATGAATTGAGATAAAAATTATCCCTCAAGAAGGAGACTACCTGGAGCTCCCCGGGAGGAACAAGCACCCACTTTTATACACCAGGCAGCCTGTGTGTGACCCTGCGCCCCCTTGCCTTCCACCTCTGAAGTTCTAAACCAGAGAGGGTAAGGACCTGCCCGTAATCACACAGCAAGTGGACACGGCGATGCTGGTCTCCCCTGCCCTGGCGCGCCGCAGCCTCCCCTCTCCTGCACTGCTGCCAGCTTTGTATGGACTCACTCTGCCTTCTATTTTCATGCCTGGGTCTGGGGTCTCTAAGGAGGGGGAAGGGGGCATAGCATGTGGCACAGGAGTGAGCACAGAATTTGGACCCAGGGCTTGGGGCCTTCTGCATGGGAGGCGAGATTTTGGGGTGCCCAGCTCCTGGGGGTATGTGGACAGTGGGGTACCCCCCTCTGCATGGAGACATGATGTGAGCGGTGGGTGTCAGTGCTGACACATGGGTACCTCTGTGTGTGGGTTTGGGAAGTTGCTCTACTGACACGCTGTCACCCTCTGTGTCTGGGGACATGAATATCTTGGTGCTGTGTTCACCGTCTCCATTGTACAGTGTGTTCTTTGGGTATTTGGGGTCCTGTGTGTGTCTTTTCATGCATCTGTACTGTTAGCAGGTTCCAGTCTTGAGATGTGTAATTGTGTGTTGTGCTGGGTGTGCACTGTGGGGTTGTTGAGATGACGTGACCTTGAGTCTTGGGCAGCCCATGTCTGCCATGTCAGCCTTGGTGGCCCCCAGCATGCGTATGGCACTCCGGTGTGCCTGTGTCCCAGTGTGGCTGTGTGTCTCAGGCAAGTGAACTGATGTCTGTGTGACATGTCCTCCGTGGGCATATGTGTGTGCATGTGCACACACACACCCTGTTCTGGACTGTTCTTGGACAGACATGGGCACGGATATGGGGTGGAGGGCACACAGGGATGGGAAAGGTACAAATACACAGGCAGGTACAGACATGCACACAGCCCCAGACTGGATATGCCTGGATATGCCAGGGTGGGTCAGTGGGGGGCTCTGGGGAATGCCAGAAAGTGGAGCAGGGGACAGGGAATGGGGAACAGAGACAGTAAGAGCTGGGGGCAGTGCAGGGTACAAGAGAGACCAGAGACCTCCTGGGGCTGGCTGGGGGCAGTGGGAAGACTAATGCTGTTGGGGAGGGGGTGCCCCTCTCTCCCATTCCTCCTAACTGTCATGGGTGCAGGAAGCCAATCCCTCCTACCTCCACCTCTGGATGCTGAGCCTGGGGGAGCTATGCTAAGGTAGGGGATCAGACTGGTACCAACACAGCGTCCCTGGATGACTGGGTTCTTGCCCATATTTGGATGATTTGGGGACCAGACACCAGGGGAGGAGGTTTGGAGAGTGGAAACCAGGTCCCTAAAGATGCCTGAGGCTGGAGGAGAACTAGATGCCTCTCAGGTTACTGAGTCCAGCAGGACCCAGAGCCCTGGACTTGGCATCCTGACTCCAGGCCACTCCCTCTCTCCCGTCCCCAGGGTTTGCCTTCCCGGATTGGGCCTACAAGCCAGAGTCATCCCCTGGCTCGAGGCAGATCCAGCTGTGGCACTTTATCCTGGAGCTGCTGCAGAAGGAGGAGTACCAGGGCGTCATCGCCTGGCAGGGGGACTACGGGGAATTTGTCATCAAAGACCCTGACGAGGTGGCCCGGCTGTGGGGCATTCGCAAATGCAAGCCCCACATGAATTACGACAAGCTGAGCCGGGCCCTGCGGTGAGGAAGGGCTGGGGGCTGGATCCCAACTTGTCTTTTTCCCCCCCGCTGTCCCTCTGGTGACCCCTCTGCATCCTGGGGCAGGTTCCCACAAGGCACAGGGCTGTGCGTGAGTAGCCACCATAGCTACTTGTGAGTGGAAGGGAGGCAAGGAGGAAGGACCCCTAAACCTGGGCTTTGGAGTCTCGCAGGGCAGGGTCCCCGCTCCTGCCTCATCCCTTCCTTGCCTTGTGATCCCTGTTAAGGGACTTGTGAGCCTCAGTTTCCCTAAGTTCTAGTGCTCTGGGCATCGTGCCTGGGACAGCACACGCATTAAGAAACCCCAGATCCCTCCCCAAGGCTCCCCCTGTACCTCCCCAGCACCACCGCTCTCCCCACAGTTACTACTACAACAAGCGGATTCTCCACAAGACCAAAGGGAAGAGGTTCACCTACAAGTTCAACTTCAGCAAAGTTGTGCTTGTCAATTACCCGCTGCTGGACATGGCGGCAGCTGCCACCGGCTCCCCACTCTTGCTGACCCCCAGTCCCTTCGGGGGGGCACCAGGGCCAGATGCTCCTCCCCTCACCCCTGAGGTGAGTCTGGGTATTGGGGTCCTGGAACTGAGGCACTTGGTGCCCACTCTGGGGAGGGGACAGTCTGAGCAGGGCGGCTTCCCCCACTCCCTCTCTAGACCCTGCAAACCCTGTTCTCTGCCCCACGCCTGGGAGAGCCAGGGACCCGGACACCCCTGTTCACCTCCGAGACAGATAAACTGCGTCTGGACAGCCCTTTCCCGTTCCTGGGCTCTGGTAAGAACCTGGTGGTTGTGGGGTGCTGGGGGCATGGTGGGAGAAGCTGCAGGCTTGAGGGAAGAGGATGAGAAAAGACAAGAGAAGGGATGGGGAAGGGGGCCCAGAGCCAGGCTGTAGGATGTGTGTGTGTGCATGCGTGTGTGTGTGTGTGTGCATGCGTGTGTGTGTGTGTGCATGCGTGTGTGTGTGTGTGTGCGCGCGTGTGTAAAATCCAGAAAAGGATGTGAGGTGAGGGAGGGGAAATGAGAGGGGGACAAGGGCTTTCAGGGGTGCTTAAGGAATGGGAAGACAAGTGGGGGAGTGGGAGGAGATGGAGTTGGGGGAAGCTGTGTGAGGGGGTGAGATGCCATGTAGGAGGGACGCAGGGAGATGGGGTGGGATATGGCAGGGAGACAGCCCCCTTTGCTGGTCCCCAGGTAGGCAGGCGCCCCAGCCTGACCTACCCCTGTGCCCCCCCAGGTGCCACCAGCTATTCCAAGCCCCCTGGCCTGCTGGGTCCTTATGGCCGCGCCTTCCCTGAGTACCCCTGGAACTTTAACCCGTACCTCACGGGCCCCTTCCCCAAGCTGCCTCCCTCTCTCTACCCCCCGCACTTCTACCCCAACCCTCTGGCCAGTTCCCTGAGCCACCTGCCCTCAGCAGGGGCAGGGGGAGGCCCCACAGCTGTGCCCCTGCTGGCCTCGACAGGGGAGGGCCTGGGCCCCGAGCGCCCCTCGGGCCTGCCAGCGGCCCCTCGCCTGGCACTGCCAGGGGCTGGGGGTCCAGAGGCTGCCCTTGGTGGGAAGGAGGACAGCGACTCGGAGCTGGAGATTACCGACGTCAGCGGCTGCAGCTCTGACAGCGAGGGCGATGAGGGTCTCCTGGTGCCCCCCAAGGCAAAGGCAGGCAAAGGGGGGACTGGCAGCTGAGCAGGCAGGGGGCAATGGATTCCGCTGAGGCAGGGACCAGGGCAGCCGCCCGTCTGCCCTTGATGCCTGGCCCAAGGCCCAGGACCAGCCCTCAGCACCTCCCGGGTCTGGGCATGTTGCTGCCCCAGTCTCCTTCCCCAGCCCCAGAGTTGGGGTCTCACTTCCCCCTCCACAGAGGACAGAGGGAACGTGATGGCCTCCAGCCTCCTCCCCAGGCTCCAGTTTGAGGGGGGTCCCCGCCTGGCCCCACTCCCAAAGTGCAATATGGCGCCCAGCCTTCCCCACCCGCCCACCCCTGTGCTGTGCCCCAAGTGTTTGTGTGGCCGTGTCTCCAACCCCCCTGTGCTGGCCCCAGTCCTGACACCCCCCACATAGGCCCCCCTGGGGACAGGGAGCTCAGAGCAATAACCCCGCCCCCAGCCCCCACCCAGGAGGGGCCCCCTTCCCACCAGCTCCCCATGATCCCGACAGTCACCTCCAGAGAGTTTACTACAGAAATAAAAGAACAGAGAGTGAGACTCGGGGTGCCCAGTGCTGAGCATGGGGGATTGGGGGTGGGAGCTGGAGGGCGGTGTCAGGGGGATGCCTCATACCCAGTGTGTGTGCAGAGTGCCTGGGGAGTAACGGTTCAAAGAAAGAAACGAATGAATGAATGAACAACTAGAGGCAGGCACAGAGGCACAGACCCAGGAAGTCGACGCCAGACAGAGAGTTCCAGATGCCACGCCAGGCCCCACCACACCCTCACACACACAGATCTCTTCTTAGATAATATATATTAAAAAATAAACCTCCAATTCAGGGTATAAAAACAGAGCGAAGGCACTTGGGGGTGGGGAGTGGAGGGGTGGCCCCCACAGGCAATACTGAGATGGCCCGGGTCACCATGGTGCCCTCCGGAATGAAGCCCTGAGTCCCCCAAGCAGAGGGCAGGAGGGAGAGATGGCCGAGGCTCATGCAGGGCCAGTGACCCCAGCTGGGCCCCTCCCAGGCGTGGCCCACAGCTCCCTCTCCTCAGGCCCTCAGGGTGTGAGATGCTGCGGCAGCTGTGTGGGTGGGGGTGGTCCCTCACGTCCTCTCCCCCATTCCTCTCCTTCTTGCAAAAGGCCTGGGGGATGTAGGAGAAGAGAGGAGATGGGGAGAGATGAAGAGAGAGACAGGGAGAGACAGACACAGAGACAAGACAGGGAGAGCGGAGAGAGAAGGGGAGGTGGGGAGAGGCAAGCAGGCACAGAGACAGAAACAGAGATCATCAGAAAGAGAGACACAGAGATGAGAAACACGAGGTGGAGTGGGGAGATTCAGAAAAGACAAAGAGGGAGATGGACAGAAGGGGCTGTAGGGATGCGAGCTCTGGAGGGGGACCCTCCTTTCAGGACAGTGCCCTGGCCCCCAGATCCCCCACTCACCTTCCTGGACAGGGACCTCAAGTGCAGCCAGGCTGGGAGACAGAGTTCCCCCCAAGCTGAGACAGGAGGGGTCGCAGGCGGCAAAATTCCTCCTCCAGCTCCTGGTGGCATGGGGGTCATGGATGAGGGGGGCCCCCTCCTTCCCCGGCCCATTCAGGGCACCCCTGGTCCGCCCCGCCCCACCTCCAGCTGCTTCATGGTCTCCTCCAAGCTGAGCAGGTTCTCCTGGATTTCCTGGGTCCGTGCTGGGCTCAGGGGGCCGCCCCCTGGGACCCCATCCCCATCTCGAGGAGGCCCCGCCCCATTGTCTTCCTCCGCCGGAAACAGAAGCTGCTTCAGGGACAGCACTGGCCAGGGGCAAGGGGGGCGGAGTCAGGAGACCAGGGGGCCAGGATGGGATCTGGGATGGGGGATTCCGAACGGCATGTGTAGGGGCTGGAGGTGAGGGTGGGTGCCAGGCAAGGCTGAGCGGATGGGGTTGGGGGATCCAAAGGGAGGTGAAGAAGTGAGGCTGGGTTTAGGGTTGGGACAGGGCAGGAAGGTACTGAAGACAGAGAGATGGTCAGGGAGCGGGTGAATATAGAGTCAAGGAAGGGATGGTGGCTGCAGAAGAAGGACGTGGGCACCCAGGACAGTGGTGCAGGCCGGGTGGGTTTGGAGCATTTGTTTTCTGGCAGCTGGGCGTAAGGAACTTTTTGACAGGGAGAGCCTTGTTCTAGTTGGAACAGAGGCACTGTTTGGGCCGGTGGCCACCCTGGAGGGGCAGGGCTGGGCTACCTTTCCGAAGGGCCGTGGCAGCGAGCTGGCCCTCGGGGCCTGGTCTGCAGAAGGGCAGGAGGTCACTGAGGATTCTCTCGGTCCGGGCTGGGTGGGGGAACAGGGAGGGCGCTCAGATCCTGCCGGGCCTCCTGTGGATGCCCCTCTTCACCCGTGAGCCCCAACCTGGCCCCTCACCCAGCATCCCTCTGGTCTCACCATCAGCCGGAGACGTCTCTCGGCCACCATTGCCGTTCTCAGAGCTGCTGAGGAGGGGTTCTCGGGTGCTGAGGGGAGGAAGTGCTGGGTGACCCCACACTCCTGGCCCTGGGGGGCCACAGGGGCAGGGAGACAGAGAGCTGGAGGTGGGGAGGCAGGGAGGTCCGGAGAGAGAGACAGAGGTCGAGGCCGGGAGACAGGGAGACAGAGAGGCCCAGACAATGGAAGACACAGAGGCCTGGAGACAGGAGACAGACGGGGCAGTGGTGGGGTCGGCACACACACACGCACACACATGCACGCACATGCTCTCACACACGCACACACACCATACATGCACACACGTACACACACATGCATGCATACATATACTACACATGCACGCACAGTCACATGCTTGCGTACAGGCACACATGTATGTACACACATGCATTCACACATGCGCACGCTCACACATATGCACACTCGACAGGACTGGGGTTTGCATTCTGGAGTTGTGGAGGGAAGCCAGCCCTGCCTTCCGGCCCCCCTCCCTGAACCTCCAGCTCTCTCCATGGCCCCCCTCACCTGCTCGGGCTGGGCCGGGGCTTAGGGCGAGAGGCAGGGGCAGGGACTTTCAGGGATCCGGCAGTCTCGGTGATGAGGGCACACCAGCTGGGGAGAAAGGCCAAACCCCTGGGCAGTCAGAGCCCCCAGACCCTATGCCGAGGCCTCCCCACAGCCCTCCTGTACCCGGGAACCCAGAGGCCTGGGCCGCCTCAACCCACACTCAGAACTCAGAACCCCCCTCACTTCTTCCGCTCCGACACAGTCTGTGCCACCAGCTCGTATATCTGGGCCTCCTGGTCCCAGGTAAAAAGGACGTAGAAGGCTTTGTGATCTGCAGGGAGAGGGGGAGATGGGACTCAGAGCCCAGGTTCCCCCAGTGCGTGCCCCTTCCTGAGCACAAGCTGGGGAAGTCACTCACAGTAGCGGTGCTCTCAGGGCTCCCATGACTCAACTCACAACTCACTGTCCACTAATATCCAGGGCCTGATGTGTCCTCCTGAGCTCCCCCCTCACACCTCCTTAGGGAACCAGGCAAGTCCCCTGGCCTACCTAACAAAACCCTGCCAGCCACTCCCACCCTCCAGCTGCTCCCAGTGTTTGTGGCCCTGGTGCAACTTCCCAACTGTGTGTTTACAAATCCCTCCTCACTGGGCTCCTGGCCTTTCTTCTCATTTATACAAGACACGCCTCTGTGCAAACACCTGCAGCAGTTCCTACCTCACTTATAAAACCTACTAGGCCTAGCCCCGCCCTGCCCACCTCCACCCACTTCCCAGCCTCTTTGCCAGAATGCTGACTCCCTGGCTCTGTAGAGGGTTCTGCTCCCCACTCCACAGGCAGCTCTGCCCAAAAGAGACACCCTTTGCCCTGGGCCATACAGTGGCTGTGCTCACCGGTGGCCACCTCGCGGGTCATGGCAGAGGTGAGCCGCAGCACAGGCCGCAGCATGGTCTTGCCGTCAGGCGTGGGCGTCAGCGTCCGGCTATGGGACTTGAGCAGCAGCCGCTCATCCTGGCGCTGGAGCAGCAGCAGCAGGTCATCCAGCAGCAGCACATGCACCTCTACGGGGCGAGCAGTGCTCACACAGCGCCCCCATGCAACCCCGTGCCCGCCCTTGGCTCACTGCCCCCACACCCTGCACTAGGTGGCTGCCCTGGCACTCACCCACAGCCTTGTCCTTTGTCACCCGCCACGTCAGTGGGCCCTCGTGGACCAATTTCTTCTTGGTGATGTCCAGGTTCTGAGGCAGGAGGGGGTGATGGTTCGTGCAGGTTGGCGGGGGGTGATTGGGGTTGGTGGGGAAGGGAAGGGAAGGGCAGGGCAGTGACCAGGGATGACCACAGGCTGGGGATCATGGGATTGGCATGAGGTGGCGGCCAAAGCTCTCGATCCCTGCGTATAGTATGGGATGGGGAGGACAGGCTGGGGACTGTGTCACAGAATCCCCTGGGCCAAGTAGAGTAGCGGGGCAGGGGAGGCAGGAGGATAAGGTCACACCTTGAACTCGCTTAGCATGGGGTCGCTGCTCTGCCGAAGGTGGGACAAGTCCAGGCGCCGCTGATAGTCCTTGAGCCTCTGGGGCAGAGACGGGAGCGTTATGGGGACAAGCTAAGTGCTGGGGCTGACCCGCAGTGACCCACATTGGTAAGGCGAGAGCCAAGACCAACTTCTGATGGGAGCAAGCTGAGGGTCGGGCCTGACCTCCAATAACCCTCAGAGGGAGGTGCTGAGGGCCAAGCCAACCCCCAGACACACAGTGACCCTTGAGGGAGACAAGCCAAGGGGTAGGGTGTGACTTCTGGACAGGCTGAGGTAGGGTCCACCCCCTGCTCTCATACCACCCACTGTCCCAGGTGTGGGGCCAGCCCAGGCTCACCAGCAGGTCCTCCATGTCACGCACGGCTTGGTTGACGTGGTGCAGAATTTCCCGGCAGCACTCGGCTGCCAGCTCCACTTTCTCCCGTTCTGTGGGCTCTTCTGCGGGCAAGGGAGAGAGCAGCTCTGGTGAACCCCTGCCCTGGAGGCTCCAGATTGAGCAGCCAAGGTTAGACAAAGGACAGCTGGCTGGGCATGGTGGCTCATGCCTGTAATCCAAGCACTTTGGGAGGCTGAGGCAGGAGGATCGCTTGAGACCAGGAGTTCAAAGCCAGCCTGGGCAACATGGCGAGACCCTGTCACTACAAAAAAATTAAAAAAATTAGCCAGGCACGGTGGTGTGCCCCTGGGGTCCCAGTTACTCGGGAAGCTGAGGTGGGAGGATGGCTAGAGCCTGGGAGGTCGAGGCTGCAGTGAGCCGTGATGGTATCATTGATGAAAATGAGTGAGAAAAAAAATTTAAAAAAAAAAAGGAGAGCCGAGGCCCAGAGAGGTGGGCCTGCGGTACCTGTGTTCTGCCCGATGCTCTGCAGAAGCAGGGGGTACTTGGTCAGCCGCTGCATCTCCGTGGGAATCATGTCCTTCAGCTGCAGACGGCGGCACCGTGGGCGGCTCTCAGCTTCCTGCAGGAAACTGGTGCTGGCGCTGTGATGGCCCAGGCTTCGGGCTCACCCCAGGGCGCAGGCACCTAGGAGTCTGGGTTTCCAGGCCCCTCCTCCCCAGGAAGCTGGAGTTCAGACCCCGCCTCACCTGCACGAAGGCACAGAACCGAGGCTCCTTGCGTTGCTTGGCTTTGAGCTGCTCTAAGGCAAACGACTGGCGGCTGCAGAAGCGGGAGGAGATTTTCTGGAACCAGGAGCCCTCAGCACCATCAAACTACAGTGAGATTCAGGCCAGGCAGGTGTCTCAGTGGGGATGGGCAAGAACAGGGCCTAAAGTACGACACGCCGGAAGCCCAGACCCTGGGACTAGATTAGGGTGGGCTCAGGACCCGCTCTGGGCTTGGATTCCAAGTGTCTAGCTGGGAGGAGGGGGAGGGCTGGGCATCTCACCCGGGCCAGCAGCACGTCTCCGATCTCCTCGATGAGGTAGCCACTCTCCTGCCTCCGCTTCATCAGGCGATCGAGGAACAGGGCTGTGGGGGCAGGAGGAAAGGGATCCTCCATCAGGGCCTGGAATATGCTGTGCGTGGCCTGCTGCGGCATGGTGGGAATAGGGCTGCAGGTGTATCTGTGTCTGCTCTTCAGGGCCGGATGGCATATCTGCCCCCACCCCATGTGAACCCTGGGGTTCCCGAGCAGGTTGAACCCAGGGCTAGAACAGAGCTGCCCGTGGGGCAGTGGGGTACACAGAGGGACCCTGGCCCTGCACTCACAATGCACCTCGATGAGCTCGTCCAGGCTGGGGAAGATGTTCTGCAGCTCCTCCAGGGAGAAGAAGAGGCCATCCGCCATGGGCTGGAAGAAGAGGTCGTGCAGCACCCGCAGCATGCGCACGTGGGCCGCTTCTGTCACCAGCAGCTCTGCAGGGCCACCAAAGCAGGAAGCACGTTGGGGAGGGTGCAGACTAGGGGGCATGACCTCAGGGGCAGGCTAGAGGAATGAGGCAGAGCAGGGAGGAACGCTTCCTAGGTTGGTGGGAAAAAACTCTCTCTGGCTAGCCACGGTGGTTCACACTTGTAATCCCAGCACTTTGGGAGGCCAAGGCAGGAGGACTGCTTGAACCCAGGAGTCCAAGATTAGCCTGGGCAACATGGTGAAACCCTGTTTCTACCAAAATTAAAAAAAAAAAAAAAAAAAAAAAGCCCGAGTGTAGTGGTGTGTGCCTGTGGTCCCAGCTACTTGGGAGGCTCAAATGGGAAGATCCCTTGAGCCCAGGAGGTTGAGGCTGCAGTGAGCTATAATGGCATTACTGCACTCCAGCCTGGGCAACAGAGCGAGACCCTGTCTCAGAACAAAACGGCTGGGCACAGTGGCTCACGCCTATAATCCCAGCATTTTGGGAGGCTGAGGAGGGTGGATCACAAGGTCAGGAGTTCGAGACCAGGCTGGCCAATATGGTGAAAACCCGTCTCTACTAAAAAAACACAAAAATTAGCCAGGTGTGGGGGCAGGCTCCTGTAGTCCCAGCGACTTGGGAGGCTGAGGCAGGAGAATCACTTGAACCCGGGAGGTGGAGGTTGCAGTGAGCCAAGATCATGCCACTGCACTCCAGCCTGGTGACAGAGCGAGACTCCATCTCAAAAAAACAAAAGAAAACAAACAAATAAAAAAAACTTCTCTTGGTGGAGTCATTTGCCCTCTTAAAAGCCATTGAGGAGCCAGGTGCGGTGGCTCATGCCTGTAATTCTAGCACTTTGGGAGGCCGAGGCGGTCAGATCACGAGGTCAGGAGATCGAGACCATCCTGGCCAACATGGTGAAACTCCATCTCTACTAAAAATGCAAAAATTAGCCGGGCGTGGTGGCAGGCGCCTGTAGTCCCAGCTACTCGGGAAGCTGAGGCAGGACAATCGCTTGAACCTGGGAGGCAGAGGTTGCAGTGTGCCGAGATCGCGCCACTGCACTCCAACCTGGTGACAGAGCGAGACTCCGTCTCAAAAAAAAAAAAGGCCATTGAGGAGTCCTCAACCCACCGCCTTGCCTTTCCCTTTCTGCTGTGCCAGCCAGCCAGAACGACCAATGGTCCCCATTTGCCTGCACGGGCTTTCAGTAATAAAACTGGGAATATCCTTAGCAAATGGGGACAAGCTGGTCATCCCACCCACCAGCAAGCTTGCAGCTGTGTTTAGTGTCTAACCATCAAGCCACATTATACAGTGGTTGACAGCCTCAGATCCAGGGACCCCCGCAGAGGGCATATGTGTGAGTTTCAGGGGTCCTAGAAATCCCCTGAGTCTAAGTGCACAATTTTGTATGTGAACGCGTATTCTTTCTGGGGAGAGAAACTGCTATCCTGTCCAACATGATAGTCACCAGCCACGTACAACTCTTTACATTTTCGTTAATTGAAACAAAATTTTAAAAGTCAGTGCTCAGTTGTATTTAGTGCTTTTTTTTTTTGCTTTTTTTTTTGAGATAGAGTCTTGCTCTGTCACCCAGATTGGAGTGTGGTGGAGTGATCTGGGCTCACTGCAACCTCTGCCTCCTGCTTCCTGGGTTCAAGCAATTCTCCTGCCTTACCCTCCCGAGTATCTGGGATTAGAGGCATGTGCCACTACGCTTGACTAATTTTTTTTTTTTTTTTGAGACGGAGTCTTGCTCTGTCAGGCTGGAGCACAGTGGCCGGATCTCAGCTCACTGCAAGCTCCACCTCCCACGTTCACGCCATTCTCCTGCCTCAGCCTCCCGAGTAGCTGGGACTACAGGCGCCAACCACCTCGCCCGGCTAGTTTTTTGTATTTTTTTAGTAGAGACGAGGTTTCACCGTGTTAGCTAGGATGGTCTCGATCTCCTGACCTCGTGATCCACCCGTCTCGGCCTCCCAATGTGCTGGGATTACAGGCTTGAGCCACCGCGCCCGGCCCGCTTGACTAATTTTTGTATGTTTAGTAGACATGGGGTTTCACCATGTTGGCCAGGCTGGTCTTGAACTCCTGACCTCAAGTGATCTGCCCACGACTTCCCAAAGTGCTGGGATTACAGGCGTGAGCCACTGTGCCCGGCCTAGTGCATTTCGCGTGCTCACCAGCCACAGGTGGCCGGTGGTCCCCATGGTGAGCAGCACAAATACAGCACATTTCCATCTTCCGGAAAGTCCTAATGGATAGCACATGGCTCATGTTTTTTTTTTTTTAATTTTTATCATGTCCTTAGAAGGATCTGTGACTCAAAAAGTACTCAACCACTCCCCTAAAATTTTTGAGTAAGTACCTTTTTTACTATGAAGTAATCTGTAAATAAGCTTTCAATCAAGTCCAAAAGCTTTCTCTTGGGCCGGGCAGTAATCCCAGCACTTTGGGAGGCTGAGGCGGGCAGATCACCTGAGGTCGGGAGTTCGAGACCAGCCTGACCAACATGGAGAAACCCCGTCTCTACTAAAAATACAAAATTAGCCGGGCATGGTGGCGCATGCCTGTAATCCCAGCTACTCAGGAGGCTGAGGCAGGAGAATCACTTGAACCTGGGAGGTGGAGGTTGCGGTGAGCTGAGATTGTGCCATTGCACTCCAGCATGGGCAACAAGAGCAAAACTCTGTCTCAAAAAAAAAAAAAAAGCTTTCTCTTTTTGCCACCAGCCTCCCCAGCCACCGCACAATTAGCACGGGAAAAAACGAAAAAGACAAAAATGATACACTCATCATCTCTCCATGCAGAAGCAAGCACTGTGAATATACTGATCATTCTCCCAAACTTCCCCCCGTGGAGATCTTTTCTCCCCTAAGCAATTAAGATCAAACAAATAACAACTATCTCATTAAAATGCTCTTCCCTGACTGGGCCTGCTGGCTCATACTTGTAATCCCAAGCCTTGGGGAGGCTGAGGTAGGAGGATCACTTGAGCCCAAGAGTTCGAGACCAGCCTGGCCAACATGGCGAAACCCCATCTCTACAAAGAATACAAAATTAGAATACAAAGAATACAAAAATTAGCCAGGCATGGTGGTACGTGCCTGTGGTCTCAGCTGCTCGGGAGGTTGAGGTGGGAGAATCAGTTGAGCCTGGGAGGGTAAGGCTGCAGTGAGCTGTGACTGCACCACTGCACTCCAGCCTGGAGACCAACTGAGACCCTGCCCAAATAAAAATGAAAAAAAAAAAAAAAGCTCTTCCTCTGTGCCCAGCACTATGCTAAACATTTCACACAAATTGTCTCATTTTCATGACAATATCTGAGGTAGGAACTATTAGTACCCACATTTTGCAAGTAAGCAAATAAAGGCTTGCATCAGAAATGCAGTGTTCTTAACATCAGCACTGTCTTGCACTACTCGAAATTTTTGGAAACGTCCCTTCCACAGTGGCATTCACATTCCATCGAAGTGGTCTCTGTTGGAACAATCTGAACTTGGAACAAGAGGGAATTTGAAGCTGCCTTCAAGTTCTGCCTATGGTAAATAACACCAAGATGAACATGTCTCTGCACCTGCCTTTGCCAGAGCTGGACTGTGTCCTTGGTCACAGTGGGGCAGACGGGGGCGGTACTCACCACTGATGACCTCCTGCCGCTTCACCTGGCTCTTGGGCAGGCTATGCAGGGTGTCTGGTGGGACAAGTTCCCGCCAGCCGGGAGGCTCTTCTGGTTCAAGCTCCAGTCCTGACCGCCCCGGCTCCCCCTCATCTCCAGGCTCAGGGCTGTGGACGGAGGCCTTGTTAGGGCCCCAGCTTGGGCCATCCCAGGAAGCAGCCTTCAACCTCTTAGAGCATTCAACCCCGGTCAGTGGCCTTGGCATTCGATGCCCCCAGGGTGGCCCGTGCAGCAGGCCAGGCCTCTAGATCTGACTACACTACAGTCCCCAGATCTCTAGAAGCATTCTACCCCTCCTCCTCCAAGGTCTGTGACCACAGTTGGCCTCAATGACCTCAGCCTCCAACGCCCATTCCTGTGATTCTGATAACAATCCCTCCCTGATTCTCCAGGCTGCCTTAGTGGATGGGGGAAGGGAGAGGGTTGACATACGTGGCTCGTCGGGCAGGGCCAAGCACTGCCGTGGCGGAACTGGGGTCCATGTCCACGTCGCTCCGGGAGCGGCCCCCACCCCGGCCCTTAGCCCCGAGGCTGCCCCGGGAAGGCCGGCGGCGGTCACTCACCCGCAGGCTCTCTGAGCGCCCCAGACGCCCTGATAGCCTGGACCCCGAGGCCAAGGATAGAGTCAGGCAGAGGCCGGGTACAGAGACAAGGAGAGACCAAGACAAGGACAGAGACGAAGAGAAACCAGGACAGGGACAGAGACGGGGAGAGACCAGGGTAGGGACAGAGATGGGGAGAGGCCAGGACAGGGACAGAGATTGGGGAGAGAAGAAGACAGGGACAGAGACAGGGAGAGACCAGGACAGGGAGAGACAAGGAGAGACCAGGACAGGGACAGAGACAGGGAGAGACCAGGACAGGGACAGAGACGGGGAGAGACCAGGACAGGGACAGAGACAGGGAGAGACCAGGACGGGAGCAGGGGTGACCAGGACAGGGATCAAACATGCAACAGAAGAGAGAGGAGAGAGTCAGAGGAGTGGTGGGATTTTAGGGGCACTGGGGTAGTGGGGGGTGTCGGTGGGGGGGATACTGAAATTTGATGGGGGAAGGGATGGGGAACCCAGGATGGAGCGTAGGACTGACCCCCTCCCTTCCCTGAGGCAGGGGGATGGCAACAGAGGGGCGTTTATGGGGTGGGGAGGATTTCCATACTTAGCTCTTCAACTGGGAGGGTGATGTCCCCACCCACCCCTCACAGGGAGTGAAGGGGAGGGAGTGGCCATGGGGAGAGGGGAGGGGCTGGGAGAAATGGGGGAGGGGCTAGCCCTTCCCCCACCCAGGGCCCAGGCACCCACCTCTTCCACCTTCTGGGGAGAGAGGGGCACAGGGTCAGAGGTGGGCCCAGATGGCACCCGACCCACCTCCCCACACCCACCAAAGGGTCCCCAAAGCAGCGGCACAAGGACGGGCAGGGGGCAGAGCCTGCCCCCCAGCTGTAAGGGGGACAGGGCCCCCGGGGCACAGAGCAGAGGGGTGGGGGGTTGAGGGACGGGTACCAGGAGGCAGGAGCGAGGCGGGGTGGGGTGGGAGGGCTTGAAAGAGAAGGGGAGGAAGGGCTGAAAAAATGGAAAGTGGCAGGGAGATCGGAGGGGGATGGAAAGTGGGGAAAGAAAACCCAGGTGAGAAAGGAGGGGGGAAATAAAGGAGATGGAAGGAGAGGTGGAGAGGAAGGGAGGAGGAGAAAGATCAGTGAAAAAAGGAAGGAGAGGAAGGAGGAGAGGAAAAAGGATAAAGGAAAGGGGGGCAATGAGGAAGCAGGAGGGAGATGAGAAAAGGAAAGAAGAAGGGAGAGGAATGGCGAGACCCAGAGAGCAGCAGAGGAGCAGGCGGAGCGAGAGGCTGGGACAGGCAGGCGCAGATGGCAGCGGCGACCCTGCACCCACCCACCAGTGCCCAGTAAGCCACAGCCCCCACCCCTGCACCCCAGCCTGGGCACCTCTCGGTTTCGGCCCCCTCATCGGTACTCTCTGGGGGCGCCGGGGGCTCCAGGCTCATTGGGCCCTGTGGGGATAAGTCCCCCAGCTCCAGGGGGGCGTCGGCACCTGTGGGGTGGAGGGAGCAGGGCTGGCTGGAAGGCCTCTGAGGCCACGAGACCCACACTCTGGGGGCCTGGAAATGTGGGGGCTAAAGCTACCCAGTGCCTGGCAGACACCACGAGGCTGCAATGTACTTCAGCACCAGACAGAAAGATGTTAAGACCTCTGAGAACACGACCGTGGGCCACTAGGGGCAGGGGCGTGAAGATGCAACAGAAGTGGGTGCCCCTGTGTGTCCTGGGGGGATGGGGACCCCAGGCCTAGCATATAAGTCACAAACATCTCTCCCACCCAACCAGACTGCAGCCCCCTGAGGTCAGGAGGGCCTGAGTTCTGTGCTGCCTCCATGTCCATTCATCCTCCCCACCCTCTCATACTCCTTTAGAGACAAGGAAACGGAGGCTAATAAATGGGAATCATATCCAAAACACTAAATAAACACGAGGAGTCAGCAGAGCCAGTGTGTGAGCCTGGGCCTGGCCATGCAGAGATCCAAGGGCCTGAGGCCACAGAGGTGTAAGGACGGTGAGGGATGAAGCTCATGGGGCTGGTGGGCTTCCCACCTAGGGGGCTAGCAATGCAGCTCAGAGGGTAGATTGGTCATGTACTCAGGGAAGGTTCTGGAAAATGAAGGGCTGATGGAAAACGTAGTCCAAGGGGGTGGGAGACACGGCACCAGCAGAGAGGTCAGAGCCTGGGAGGAAAGTCGTGGAAAGGGCAAACTGAGGGAAGGGGAAAGTTACGCATGACAGTGGTGACCAGGAGTAGGGAGGAGCAGATGCTAAGAGCAAAGGGGAGGTGTTGCTGAGGAGTGGCTTCCATCTGGGGGTGCCAAGGGGGCAGGCAGCACCCCCACCCTGGATCCCCGGGCCTCACGGAGCCCTGGCCCAGGAAACTCTCACCTGGTTCCCGGTCTGGGCTGTCCAGGGACAGAGGGTGCAGAGAGACTCCAGGGGTGTCCTGCCCAGAAGCCCCAACATTCCGGTCCCGAGAGGGCATCCCCAGGCCTCCCTTCCGGTCTGTAGCACCTGGCTTCTCAGCTGGGGAGACAGTGAGGGAGAAAGAGGGAGATGAGAGAACAGTAACTCAAATCTACAACAACCGGGGGATGCAAGAGGCTGTGCTCAGGCCCTTCCCCACCATGACTAGGAGGCCCTCCTGCCTCAGACCCAGGCGCCCCTATCCCCTCCTCCCTCAGACCCAGGAGTCCCCCATACCCTCTGCCCTCAGACCCAGGAGTCCAGGCCCCCAGCCCCTCCTCCCTCAGACCCAGGGGTCCAGGCCCCCAGCCCCTCCTCCCTCAGACCCAGGGGTCCAGGCCCCCAGCCCCTCCTTCCCTCAGACCCAGGAACTCTCCCAGCCCCTCCTCCCTCAGAACCAGGGGTCCAGGCCCCCAGCCCCTCCTCCCTCAGACCCAGGGGTCCAGGCCCCCAGCCCCTCCTCCCTCAGACCCAGGGGTCCAGGCCCCCAGCCCCTCTTCCCTCAGACCCAGGAACTCTCCCAGCCCCTCCTCCCTCAGAACCAGGGGTCCAGGCCCCAGCCCCTCTTCCCTCAGACCCACGGGTTCAGGCCCAGCCCCTCCTCCCTCACACCCAGGGGTCTAGGGCTAGCCCTTCCTCCCTCAGACCCAAGAGTCCCAGCCCCCAGCCCCTCCTCCCTCAGACCCAGGGGTCCAGGCCCAATCCTCCTCCCTCAGACCCAGGGGTCCAGGCCCCAGCCCTTCCTCCCTCAGAACCAGGAGTCTGAGCCCCCAGCCCCTCCTTCCTCAGACCCAGGAACTCCCCCAGCCAAGTGCAGGCCCAGTCCCTCTTCCCTCAGACCCAGGGGTTCAGGACCAGCCTTTCCTCCCTCAGACCCAGGAACTCCCCCAGCCCCTCCTCCCTCAGAGCCAGGGGTCCAGGCCCAGCTTCTCCTCCCTCAGACCCAGGAATCCAGGCCCCAGCCCCCTCCCCCACAGGCCCCAGGGATGGATGCTCTGGCTACAGGTCCATTACCATCAACCTCTGCTTTGAGGTGTCGAAAATCTGGAACTGAAATGAGAGAGAGTGAGACAGTGAGTGGGAAGAACTGGGGAAGACAGGGGAGGGCAGAGGCCAGAGACGCTTTACCCTGGGGCTCTCCCCGGTTCCAGCGGGCGGCATCCAGGATGCTGCTCAGCCCCTTCTTGGTCTTGGCAGGCTCGTCCGACCGCCGGTTCCCCATCACCTGCAAGAGGGCGGGGAGGAAGACCAGGCTGAGCATCTCTGAGACAACCAAGCAGAATTTGACGCCAGGTGTCCAGAGTCATGGGGCTCCCAGGGGGTCTCTGGAGAGGAAAGGGTCAGGACAGGGCACTGAGGGAAGCACCTTTTTCCGGAAGAAGTTCCTCCCCGACTTCTTGTCCCCACTCTTGGTCCGCACCCCAAGGTGGCGCATGTACACGCCAATGGCGTTGACCACGGCAGCACTGTAGGGAGGAGACAGTGAGGGCTCAACACACACAAAGACACACACACACACACACACACACACACACACACACACACAGCCACTAGAGGCAGAGGCCCGGCCTTCCCATCCTGACCCCACAACTACTTCCCATGAGACTCTGAGGAGAGATGAGAGGGTTCAAAAGGACAGGGGCAAAGGCTGTTACCCAATACCCAGGACCCAGGTGTCCAGGTCCCCAGCCTCCTCCTCCCTCAGACCCAGGAGTCCAGGCCCCAGCCTTCTCCTCCCTCAGACCCAGGAGTCCAGGGCCCCAGCCTCCTCCTCCCTCAGACCCAGGAGCCCAGGCCCCCAGCCTCCTCCTCCCTCAGACCCAGGAGTCCAGGCCCCCAGCCCCTCCTCCCTCGGACCCAGGAGTCGAGGACCCCAGCCTCCTCCTCCCTCGGACCCAGGAGTCGAGGACCCCAGCCTCCTCCTCCCTCAGACCCAGGAGTCCAGGGCTCCAGCCTCCTCCTCCTCCCTCAGACCCAGGAGTCCAGGGCTCCAGCCTCCTCCTCCTCCCTCCAGGCCCCCAGCCTCCTCCTCCCTCAGACCCAGGAGCCCAGGCCCCCAGCCTCCTCCTCCCTCAGACCCAGGAGTCCAGGGCTCCAGCCTCCTCCTCCTCCCTCAGACCCAGGAGTCCAGGGCTCCAGCCTCCTCCTCCTCCCTCAGACCCAGGAGGCGAGGCCCCTAGCTTCCTCCTCCCTCAGACCCAGGAGCCCAGGCCCCCAGCCTCCTCCTCCCTCAGACCCAGGAGTCCAGGCCCCCAACCTCCTCCTCCCTCGGACCCAGGAGTCGAGGACCCCAGCCTCCTCCTCCCTCAGACCCAGGAGTCCAGGCCCCAGGCCCTCCTCCCTCAGACCCAGAAGTCCAAGTCCCCAGCCCTCTCTTCCCATAGACCCAGGAATCCAGACCCCCAGCCCCCTCCTCCTTCAAACCCAGGAGGCTGCACACCTCTCCCTGCCGCCCTCCCTGCCCCCCTCACCTCTTTTCTTCATCGGTAGAGATGGTATGTCTGTAGGAGGAAGAGAGACGTTTGTGACATATTTGCTAGGTCTGGGGTCCCCGTCCACCCAGGACACATCTCAGGGTTGCTGTCCTGGGATAGGCAGGGGGAAGAGAGACAGAGAGGGGACACTGCGGAAGGGATCGGGAAGGACCGTCACAAGAGGGAGGGAGGTCTCTCATCCAGGAGGACGGGATCCAAGTGCCAGATCATGGACAAGACCCAGAAATGACAAGGGAACCCCAAAGTTGGAAAGGGAAGACTCAGATCCAAGGTGAGTTAAAACGCCAGGGCAGAGGAAGAGCCCCAGTGCCAAGAAATGAACCCTGACGCTGAAGAGGGAACCCGCAAACGGGATGGAACATGCCAGAGGTAGCAGGGGTGCCCCGGCGCTAGGGAGGGGCAACGCTCCCACCAGGGCTGGCCCACTCACTGCATCTCCTCCAGGTGCATGAGCAGTCGCTCCGCCACGTGCCGCTCCCGGGCCTCGTAGCTGGCTCGGTCTCGCCCAACCCAAGCCTCCAGCTGGGCCAGCTCCTGCTCCCAGGGCGTCATGCCCATGAGCCGCTTGGAGCGGAAGTCCTCCAGCTGCCGGCCCACGGCTGTCTGCTGGCTTTGCACCACCTCCTGCACGAACCGCCGCTGGACATCCTCAGAGATGAGGTCAGCCCGAGTGCGGTCTGCAGGGACACACATGAGGGCTAGGGTCCACTTCCTGGTGGCTTGGACCACGGCCCCCACCCACCTTTGGCTCCAACAGCCACTCTTTCTGAGGCCGCTGCCAGTAAGGAATGAATGAATCTCGGCCGTCCGAGCAGAGCATGGGAGTGCGGCCTCCCTCCCCTTGGCCTCCTGGGAGGTGTAGTCCCTGCTAGACACCTCTCCCCCATCCCATCCTTCTCCTTACCAAGTTCAAAGGCGACATTGGGAGGGACTGGCACCCGCAGAACCTGCTCAAGAGAGAGAATGGGGTGAAGAGGAGGACTTGGTGTGCTGAGATGCAGGCCGGGAGGACTGCCAGGAACCCTGACATAAGTGAGGGTGCTGGGGAAGGCCTGGGTCAGCAGCTGCCCTCAGGGCAGAGGTTGGGGACCTCATGGTGACTCTGCAGGCCCAAAAAGGGATTGCGGGGTTGGGGCAGCTTGAAGATCTCTCACCGCTGTCTTCTCCAGGAAGCTGTGATAGAAGTCCAGGAAGGCCTTCTTGGCCTCCTTGGGGCCCAGTGAGCCCAGCATGTCGGCATGCAGACAGCAAAGCTGGGGGAGACACACAGTGTGACTCTCCGCTCCCCCACCCCGCCTCAAACCACAGTCTCCCTTTGAAGAGGGCCTTCCCCGCCTCCTGACCACCCCATGGTTAAGGGACTCAACTGCCACCTCCTCCGGGAAAAACTCCCTGACCTCCACCCCTAACACCAGGCCCTGGGTTCCCCTGCAGGCTCCCTGGGGCCGCCATTCACATTTTCTAATTTTCCATCCTGTGCCGTGGTCCTTTGTGGTTCTTCATCATGGTCTCCTCCTGGCAATAATGATACCTACTACTACTGTCTATACTGAGGGCTTACTGTATACCAGACGCTGCTCTACACCCTCTACGTGCATTAACATGTTCAAGTGTAGGGACCGTGAGTATCCCCATTTTACAGATGAGAAAACGGAGCTCGACAAGTTTATTCAAGCTTAGTGACACAGCTAGGCTGGGCATGGTGGCTCACACCTGCAATCCCAGCACTTTGGGAGGCCGAGGCAGGTGGCTCACATGAGGTCAGGAATTTGTGACCAGCCTGGCCAACATGGCAAAACCCTGTCTTTTTTATTTTTAGTAAAATAAAACAATTAAAAAATTAGCCACGTGTGGTGGTGGGCACCTGTAATCCCAGCTGCTTGGGAGGCTGAGGCAGGGAGAACTGCTTGAACCCAGGAGATGGAGGTTGCAGTGAGGGGAGATTGTACCACTGCACTCCAGCCTGGGTGACAGAGCGAGACTGTTTCAAAAATAAATAAATAAATAAAACCCAAAATCACACAGTTACTAAGTGGCAAAGCTAGGATTCGAATCCAGGCAGCCTGTCTCCACTACACTCTGCTGCCTAGAAAGACTGAGCAGCTCAAGGGTTTGTGTGTGTTGAGGGGTGTTGTAGGTTGATCCATCTGTGTCCCAGATGGTGCCCTGTGCCTACTGAGGGCTTGTAAAGAACAGGTGGACAAGCGGGGCTCACTGTGTCATTCGTCACGCATTTCCTGAGTGCCAGCCCCTGTGCTGGGTGACAGTGGGAACTCCAGCCTGCCCTGGCTCCTGGGTGCTCTCATCTGGGAAATGGACTCACTCCAATGGGAGTGGGACTTTTTCTCCTTTTTCTTTTTTGAGATGGAGTCTAGCTGTGTCACCCAGGCTGGAGTGTAGTGGCGCAATCTCGGCTCACTGCAAGCTCCTCCTGGGTTCAAGCAATTCTCCTGCCTCAGCCTCTGGAGTAGCTTGGATTACAGGTGCCTACCACCATGCCTGGCTAATTTTTTTTTTTTTTTTTTGCCTAGGCTGGAGTGCAGTGGTGCAATCTTGGTTCATCGCAACCTCTACCTCCCAAGATCAAGTGATTCTCCTGCCTCAGCCTCCCGAGTAGCTGGGATTACAGGCGCGTACCACTGTGTGCCCGGCTAATTTTCGTATTTTAGTAGAGATGGGATTTCACCATGAGGCTGGTTTTGAACTCCTGACGTCAGGTGATCCACCTGCCTCGGCCTCCCAAAGTGCTGGGATTATAGGCGTGAGCCACCGCGCCTGCCCCATTTTCATATTTTTATAGAGACAGGGTTTTACCATGTTGGCCGGGCTGGTCTCAAACTCCTGATCTCAAGTGATCTACCCACCTCGGCCTCCCAAAGTTCTGGGATTACAGGCATGAGCCACCGTGCCCGGCCCCACCTTTTATTTATTTATTTCAAGACAGGGTCTCACTCTGTTGCCCAGGCTGGAGTGCAGTGGTGCAGTCACTGCAGCCTCGACCTCCCAGGCTCAAGCCATCCTCCTGCCTCAGCCTCCCAAAGCGTTGGGACTACAGTCATGAACCACCAGGCCTGGTCCTCCTTCTCCACTTTAAACAGTTTTAACAAATCTATATCTACTCTCCACACCCCCCAAATATAGCAAAATTCTAAGAGAGGCCAACAGGAAGCTGCCCAGGGGACCACAGCTATCTCTGATCGGCTCTCCACAAGCTGATGAGGTGAGGGAGCTGTGTGAGGATAAACCTCAAAATGCCCAGAGGCTGCCGGGGTAACCTCAGGCAAGTCCCTGACCCTCTCTAGGCCTCAGTTTCCACATCTGTAAAAGAACATGGTAGCACGATCCCTGGGCTGATGTCCATGATCTGGTGGTCTAGAAACCCCAAGGCTTGAATGGGGGACCCCCTTGCTCAGAGGGCCAGAGTCTCCATGCCTGTGGTTGTGCGGGGAGCCACTCTTCTGGAAAGAGAATGCGGACGGGGGAAAGACTGCAATTTCCTAAATTTCTGCATATCTGATGCTTTGGTGTCAGGATGACCAGCCTCTGGTCTTGCAGCTGATGTGTTCTTCTTTCCGCATGCCTTGGGCGCTTCTCCCCACTCTATCGATTTTCTCGTTTTCTGGAGGGGTCTACTACGCATGTCCACATGGTGCAGTGCCCTGGCTGTCCCCAACTCCTATGCTGTGCTGGGCTGGACCGGGTCTTCTTGGGATGAGACCCTTGTCTACAGATCCACTGCCAGCCAGCACTGTGGCCTCTCCCTTTCTAAATCACCTGCTGGTTTTTCTAGACTCTGCAGGTGTTTCTGGATGGCACGGTTGTCCATCCACACCTCCCAGGTATCTTCTGCCTCATACAGAGGCTTCTGGATCCACAATTTTGTGGTCTCCTTTGTGAGCTGTGTGTGGTAGTTTTCTTGTTTCTGGATCAGGGCCTGCTGTGCCCCCTACACCTGGGATGGCTAACAGCCTTCTCTCAAGCACCAACCCTGAATGACTGCGTGCTGCCGAGAAGGCTTTGGAGAGAAGGATTTGGTACCCCAGAGTCCACGGAAGGGCGCTGCCACAGGCTGATGGGGAGCGCTGCCACAGGCACAAAGTGGGACGGGATGTGGTTTCTGCCAGGCTGCTGGACTCCCTGTGGCTCTGCAGGGTCCTGCCGTGTGTACCCTGCCCGCTGTGCACTGAGATCTACCCTGGGCACCTGTAAGCCTGTTGAGGTCACGTGGCGTGCTTTCTGGCTCTTGTCTAAGGCATTCTCTCTTTCTAGATTTGGCACTCTGTTTTCTAGATCTGCTTTTCCAGACTCTCCCAGCACTAGCTCACTGGTTTAACTCGCCAAAAGCTGTGCCTGTCCCAGCCCCACCCCTCCCTGTGCCCACCCAGCCCTGCCCTCACCAGGGGTCCTGGCTCAAACTGCAGGGCCACGTGCTGCAGGAGGGCCATGAGGTGGGCTGGGCGCCGCTTCACCTGCTCCAGGCTCTGGAACTGGCTGTTTTGCTCTTCTGAGTTCTGGGGGTTCAGGCAGGGGTGAGTACAATGGGGAGAAGAGGAGGGGCCTTGGGGTTGACCCTACCCATTCCTGATACTTCACAAGGGATCCAAGTCAGGGTTAGCTCCTGGGAAGTGGGGAGTGGTGACAGTGTCCATGAAATAATGATGACAGCAAGGGCAGGTGGTCAGGGAGAATGGATGAGACTTAATATTATAATGGTGGATGATGAGGACAGAAATTAGGAGAGAAGAAATTGGGGTCCCTGCTGGGAGAGGAGAGAGCAATGATAAGAAATGGGGTTAAGAGTAAGAAGGGTGGGCGTCCATGCTGCTGTGTGGGCTCTGAGTATGGGGTCCGCGAGGTGAGGAGGGAGGTACCACAGAGATGAGAGGATGGGACAGACCGTGGGAAGAGGCCGAGAAGACACATCTACAGGTGGGAGGGGACCCGGGGCGGGATGCTGAGCCTGGGACAGAGCTTTTCCACCCTATCTACCACTCACCGTCTCCAGCTCGTTCTCAAAATCCTCATCCTCTGCCCCGATGATGCTGACGGGAACCAGGCCAGGCCGGGAGGGGCCTGGGGAGGCCTGTGGAAGGGGAGGGCGGCTTCAGTCCACAGAACTCCCCACCCACAGCCCCAGAGTCCCCTCACCCCTTGCTCTGTCCACTCACCGCCCCTCGGGCAACGTCTTCCATCTCCCTGGGCTCTGCAGGGCTGGAGGAAGAGGAGGGGCTGCGGTTAGGAGGGTGGGAGGTGGCGGCCCAGGGTGGTTACTCACAGATTCCTGGCCCAGGTGTGAAGGTGAGTAAACAGCCTCCCCCATCCCGGCCTCCGCAGCTCAATGGGGCCTCTGTGTGGCCACAAAGAGCCCTTCAGAGACCCGCCAGGGGGCGGGAGCCCAAGGACCGGAGCCTTGCGGGGGCAGGCATTGGAGGCTCAGGAGCCTGGGTCCATGGGAAGGCTGAGTCTGAGAGCCTGCAATGTGGAGTCCCTAACGCTCTCATGGAAGAGGGGGCTGGGGGACTGGGCTCCCAGGTTGGAGGGATCAGAGGCCTGGGGGCTAATTCCTGAGAGCACAGCCTAGAGGCAAGCTGGGATGGGAGCGTTAGAGGAGAGGCGGGAGAGAAGTGGGGTGCAGGGGTCTCCTCTGGTCTGTGACAGGCCTGGGGCAGGATGTTGCTTGGAACCCACCAGCCCCACTTCCTGTGACAGGAAGTCACAATGACAAACCCCCAACCCCCAACTCTCCACATAAGAAAACAAAACTCAGAACCCTCCTCCCTCAGGGACCAGGAGTCCCCAAATCCAGTTCTTCTTTCCCCCAGGGACCTCATCTCTTCCCAGGCTTCCAGTCCTGGAAAATAAGTGATGGGACCTCAGACAGCCCATCTCCAAGGTGCGTCTGTCTCCTCCACCCTACGTGCACCTTGGTCTGTCTGCAGCCGGCTCTCCTTGGCTGTCTGTCCCTCGAATCTGTCTCATGTCTTGGTCTCTCTTCACCCTGTTTCCTGATTTTTCTCTTCGCCTTCCTCCAGAACTGTCTCATTTTCCCCACTGTCCCTGCCTCCCCTCCTTCCATCTGTCCTTCTCAGAGGTGACACCCCCTTCCTGCTTCTGTAGCTCTGTCTCTCCTGTCCCTGTCTCTGTGCCTCTGTCCTCCCGCATCTGGTTTCTGCAGCCACCATCCTCACACCTCTCTGAGTCACGGTCTCAAGTGCTGTCTCTCATCTCTCTCCATCCCTTTTTCTCCCCCATCTCTTGCTGTCTTTCCCATCTTTGTCTCTCCTTCAGTCTCCACTTCTCTCTGAGTCTTTCCACCGACATCTTCTGTGTCCTTAATTAGTCTGACTAATGCCACGGAGCCCGTGTCAGGCGGGAAGGAGCTGTGGAAAGAGGGGTGGGGTGGACCAGTGGGGGGGGGCTCCCCACAGCCCAAAGCTATTTATAACCCTAGCTGGCAGAGACCCGCCCTTCTCCTGCTTTATGGGCCTCCTCCCTAGCTCCCCAGTAAATGGTAACCAGGATTTTGATGATTAAACAATGATGCTTTCTGGAGTGTCCAAATGCCACCTTGAGGGTCCACCTGGGGAAGGCATCATTTTTATTCTTTCCCATAAAGAGTATTTGTCCAATATCTAAGCTCGGACAATTCAAGATTCAAGCACTGCTAAACGTTCACTTTAATAAATTTGCAAACTGGCCCGGCGAGGTGGTTCATGCCGGTAACCCCAGCAATTTGGGAGGCCAAGGTGGGAAGATCGCTTGAGCTCAGGAGTTCGAGACCAGCCTGGGCAACACAGTGAGACCCTGTCTCACTATGAAACATGACCACGGACGTGGAGGGTGCATGCTCATCCCACTCACAGGCAGAAATGCTCAACTGAGGCAGGGAGATTAAAAAAAGGCAAAGGAGGCTGGGCGCGGTGGCTCACGCCTGTAATCCCAGCACTTTGGGAGGCTGAGGTGGGTGGATCACGAGGTCAGGAGATCAAAACCATCCTGGCTAACATGGTGAAACCCCGTCTCTACTAAAAAAAATACAAAAAATTAGCTGGGCATAGTGGCGGGTGCCTGTAGTCCCAGCTACTTGGGAGGCTGAGGCAGGAGAATGCGTGAACCCGGAGCAGATGCTTGCCAAGTGAGCACAGGACCCATGCGCCACTGCACTCCAAAGCCTGGTGACAGAGCAAGAACTTGGTTCAAAAACAAACAAAACCAAAACAAACAAAAGGCCAAACGAGGAGAATCCATTATCTCTGCAAGTCCTCGTGCAGGTTTCTGCGGAACGGTGTGCTGCCAAGTTCTTTTTTTTTTTTTTTTGAAGACCCGAGTCCGTTTTCGCGCAGCTGGAATGCAGTGGCGCATCTCGCCACTGCAAGCTCCCCCCCCCGGGGTCACAACCATTCATCCTGCCTCAGCCCCTCCGAGTAGCGGGACTACAGGCGCCCCAACCTCCCGCTAATTTCTTTGTAATTCTTTTAGTAGAGACGGGTTTCAACCGTGTTAGCCAGTGATTGCGTCGATTCTCCCGCCTCGTGGATGCCACCCGCTACAGCCCTCTCAAAGTGGCTGGATTTACAGCCGTGAGGCCACCGCCCGCCGCCACTTGCCCAAGTTCCTTATCTCCTTATCTTTTTTGTTTTTTTTTTTTCTTTGAGACGGAGTCTCGCTCTGTCCAGGCCTGGGATGGGCAGTGCGTGCTGATCTCAGCTCACTGCAAGCTCCGCCTCCCGGGTTTACGCCATTCTCCTGCCTCAGCCTCCCGAATAGCGGGGCCTACAGACGCCCGCCACCTCGCCCGGCTAGTTTTTTGTATTTTTTTTTTTTTAGTAGAGACGGGGTTTCACAGTGTCAGCCAGGATGGTTTCAATCTCCTGACCTCGTAACCCACCCGTCTTGGCCTCCCAAAGTGCTGGGATTACAGGCTTGAGCCACCGGGCCCGGCCTCCTTATTCCTTATCACAATGATAATGAAATGATAGCTGACACGTAAGAGACACTTAGTAAGTGCCAGGCATGGCATCGCTGGTTTACAGGTAATAACTCATTTAATCCTCTCAGTGACTCCAAGAGATTATTATTATTCTCATCTCCATTTAGCAAAGAAGGAAACTGAGGCACAGCTCATATGAAGCAGAACCAGGACTCAGACCTAGGCAACTGGGCTACAGAGTTTATGCATTTAAAATAAACTGCATTTGGTGGGCCCAGTAGCTCACATCTGTAATCCCAGCAGTTTGGAAGACCAAGGCAGGTGGATCGCTTGAGCTCAGGAGTTCGAAACCAGTCTGGCTAATATGGTGAAACCCCGTCTCTACAAAAGATAGCCAGGTGTGGTGGCTCATGCCTGTAGTCCCAGCTACTTGGGAGGCTAAGGTGAGAGGATCGCTTGAGCCCAGGAGGCAGACGTTGCAGTGAGCCAAGATTGTGCCACTGCCCTCCAGCCTGGGCAACAGAGTGAGACTTTGTCTTAAAATAAAACAGGCCGGGCGTGGTGGCTCTCGCCTGTAATCCCAGCACTTTGGGAGACCGAAGCAGGCGGATCACGAAGTCAAGAGATCAACACCATCCTGGCCAACACAGTGAAACCCTGTCTCTACTAAAAATACAAAAATTAGCTGGGCATGGTGGCGCGAGGCTGTAGTCCCAGCTACTCGGGAGGCTGAGGCAGGAGAATCGCTTGAACCCGGGAGGCGGAGCTTGCAGTGAGCTGAGATCGAGCCACTGCACTCCAGCCTGGTGACAGAAGTGAGACTTCGTCTCAATGAATAAATAAAATAAGACAAAATAAAACAAAACAGAGGGCATTGCTTCAGAGCATGGGGAGCCCCCACCCTACCCTTCACAAACTAAAATGTGAATCAAAGCTCTGAGACACATCACATCTTCTTATGGATGCCTGGAAAAGCCACGGGTATGTGGTCACTGTGGCCTAGGCAGGAGTGCAAGTTGCATACGGCTGCTCCACAGAGGCCTGGGGGCTGGAGATGATGGAGGCGAGGAGTGTTGCTTGTTTAGGACGACGGGTTGGGGGGGGTCCCACAAAGGCTGGAGAATTATAGGTGAAGCTGTCAGAGAATAGATGGATCTCTACAGGCAACTGACAAGGCCTGGGGGTGGGGGGTGGCGGGTCCAGCAGAGGGAGCACTACGTGCATTGGGCGCTGGGGGGTTAGGACTGGTTTAGAAGGTCCCTGGGTTGGGGGGCTACATGGGTGCTTGAGTTCTATGGAGGGCTCAGGGTCTATAAGGTATTGAGCAGGTGACTCGGGGTCTCCAAGAACTTCTGGGAGCCTTAAAGAACCTAAAAGGAGTCATTGGAATGTGTAACTCCCCAGATTCTATTTGACACACAGTGGGTCTAAAGGATCCAGGGATCATACAGGATCATGATTCTATAGGGAGAGCTGCCAGTCTGTGGAACCTCCGGAGACTTAAAAGGGGCTCAGAATTCCATAGGGGTGCGTGGTGGGTCCCGAGACCCATGGTCTGTAGAGCCCCGGATTCCAGGGGATGCTCCTTATCTATGAGGACCCCACGTCTATGAGAAACCAGTTATCCATGGGGCGCTGGCAGGAAACTGGAGGGTCTGAAAGACTTTGTAATCTATACGGAATGTGGCTGGTCTACACAAGCCCCAAATCTTACATGGACGTGGCCGGTCTTACGCGGGCCCTAAATCCTACGGGGGACGTGGCAGTGTGCACGGCTAGGGATGCCGGGGAGGACGTGCAGAGTCAGGGTCTGACGCCCGCTGGAGACCGCGTCCCTCACCTGCTCCAGGTGGAAAGAAAAGCCACCACCGCCACCGGAACCGAAGCCTCCGCCCGCCAGCTCCGCACTCTCCCCACCCCTGCCGCCGCGTCGCTCTAGCCGCCCTGAGTCCACCTTTGCGCCCAGCTCCACTCCTCCTGCCAGCCGCTCTAGCCCGGCTCCTGCCAGGCTCCGGCCCCGACGACTCTACTCCTCCCGCCGGCCGCTCTAGCGCTGCATTGCGCCACGCAGGCCAGATAGGGCCGCTCTGGCCTGTCTTGGAGGGCCGGCGTTTCCGTATCTCGACTGCCCCCGTCACTCCCCGGGCCCCGCCCCGCGCCCGGAGGTGCAGATGGGTGCAACTCCTCCCGAGTTCGATCCGAGATCTCCGAGATCACCGAGTCACCCCGGCGCTGAGCACTCGGACCGCGGATTGGGGCTCCCCGTCCTATTAGTCTCCCCACTTAGGGGACCCGCTGAATTTCCAACGCTCGTACATCAATCCCCTCCGTCCCCCACCCCACCCCCCTTCCTTTGGAACTGGAAAAGCAAAAGTCTTGAGTTCCAGCACATCTTTCCCTCTGACATGCAGTGTAATCTGCAAAAAGTAATGACTACTCTGCAGGCCTCAGTCTTCCCATCTGTACAGTGGGAGAAGGCCTCCAGCTCTCTCCCTACACTTGTCTCCCACGGTATAATTAATGACCTGGAAAAGAGCTTTCCTAAAACTCTTTCAAATGCACTCTGCAACTTTCAGCTTCACAGCGGCCCTCGTCGCTGTTATTGTTGTTTTTCTTTTTTAGGTGGCCCTAAAGCATGCGGAGGTTGGAGGATGGCGCTTTGCGGAAAGCACGTGCGAGTTCAAATCCCAACTCCACACTGTCTCATGATGTGCGTTCCCTGGGACGAGTCGGTTTGGCTCCCCGGGCCTCGGTTTCCCCACCCGTACAATGGGAGTGATCGTCTGTCCTCCACTGAGCAGGTGGGAGGCCTTGGCCCCGGCCTCGCACCGTTCGTCCCCACCTACGGGGTACTCGTCAAGTGTGAGTTCTCCCCTCTTTGCTCCCTTTAACAGATGGGAAAACTGAGGCCCGAGGAGGTGCGCCGCTGGCTCCGTGGGGTCCGAAGGAGGCCCCTCCGCTGGCGGCAGCGCCCCAGCCCCTCCCTCCTCCTCCCCACTTCCCCCAGCAGCCGAGGGGAGGAAGCCGGGCGGGGCCGGGGACCGAGTACCTGGTGTCCGCGCGGAGGTGACCGGCGGGGCGCCCGAGGTCGGGCTCGGCAATCCCGGGCCCTGGGTCCCGGCTCCCGCTTCCTGGCTCTGGCGGGGCAGGAAGTCGGGGCGTTTTTCCGGAGGCCCCCGCCCCGCCGCCCCTCCCCGCTTCCTGCCCGCGCCCCGCGCCCGCCCGGCACCTCCGCTTCCTTCCCCTTCTCGCCGCTTGCCCGCCCCTCCTTTCCCCGCTGCACCCGGGTCCCCGCGGGCACCGGCCCCGCCCCGGCCGCGCCCGGGCTCTCCCTGGCTTTGTCCATCGGTCCGTCCGCCGGGCGCGGGCTCCGCGGGGCTCGCATCTCCTGGCTGGGGTCACCTCCCCGGAGGTGCTGGGAGGCAAGCCCTGCTCCCCGTGCGCCCCACACCGAGCCACGACCTCCCCGGCTTTCCGCGTCTGTGGTTCTCTTGGTCTTGCGCCCTTCCTTCGCCTCTGTGGGTATGCTCCCGCCTGCGTCTGCGTCCCCTTCTCTGTCCCTCTGTCTTTCTCTATTGGGGTCTTTCCCTCCTTGGCCTCCACCTCTCCTCTGTCCCTCCATCACTTTCTCCCCGAGAGCTCTTCTCTACCCTCTCCGGGTCTCTCTGTTACCTTTCTGCATCTCCGTCTCAGTCTCTGTCATTTCCCCAGCTGTTGCTGTGCCTGGGCCTCTTCGTGCCCTTTTTCGGTTGCCCCTTCTCCCTTGTGTTGCTTCTTTTCCTTCTCGCTCTGTCTCTGTCCCTCTTTCTCTCCACGTCCCTGTCTCTCTGCCGGATTCCCAGAGTCTCATCCTCTCTTCCTTCACTTGCTCGTCCCCTTCACAATCCCTGGGTCTCAACCTCTCTCCTCTCCCTTTCTCAGGAAATCCGTGTCTCTGTGCCTCTCTGTCGTTGCCCCTGGATCTCCCTGCTATCCCCAAGTTAGGACTACAGACCCTCCAGAATGCCCCTTCTGTAAGTCCACCCATCGGGAAAAGGCTGCAGTCTGAATTCTGTACTAGCCCCACAAGATAGTCCCTGTGTTTCCAAGGCTTAAATACGCATAAAGTGCCTCACGCCTGTAGTCCCAGCACTTTGGGAGACCGAAGCATGGTGGATCACTTGAGGTCAGGAGTTCGAGACCAGCCTGGTTAACATGGCGAAACCCTGTCACTACTAAAAAATTAGCTGGGCGTGGTGGCACATGCCTGTCATCCCAGCTACTCAGGAGCCTGAGGTACAAGAATCGCTTGAGCTTGAGAGGTGGAGGATGAAGTGGGCTGAGATTGCGCCACTGCACTCCAGCTTGGGCGACAGAGTCAGACTGTCTCAAAAAAAAAAAAAAAAAAAGCGGCCAGGCGCAGTGGCTCACGCCTGTAATCCCAGCATTTTGGGAGGCTAAGGCGGGCAGATAACCTGAGGTCATCTGGTTATCTGGCCAACATGGTGAAACCCCACCTCTACTAAAAATACAAAAATTAGCTGGGCATGGTGGCAGGTGCCTATAATCCCAGCTACTTGGGAGGCTGAGGCAGGAGAATTGCTTGAACCCAGGAGGTGGAGGTTGCAGTGAGCATATCAACCTGGGTGACAGAGTGAGACTCTATCTCAAAAAAAAGCATAAATAATTTGTTAGTCACACCTATCTTGATCTTGTCCCCTTCTTGCTTAAGGACATGACCCTAGGGTGAGGCCTTGCAAAGAGGGCCAAACCAGTCCTTCAGCTGGGCTGGGGACCTTCCCAAGAGACATCCTGTTCTCCCAGGAAGGCAGCCCAGACTGGCTGCCTGGTTTCAGGTGTGGGGAGTGGGTAGGGGGTGGCTTGGGCTGGGACTCCTGGGTCTGAGGGGCAGGTGGGAGAGGCAGTTCCCATAAGATCCACGACTCCTTCCAAGGTCTGCAGTTGGGAAGAATTTATTATTACTAAGTGGCCCTGACAGATCATGGAGAAGGGGGTGACACTGACAGATCATGGAGGAGGGGGTGACAGGGGAGCTGCTACAGTCAGCTCCCCTGGAGGCAGTGATTAAGGGCTCATTACCCACTGGGGTGAGGGGAGCCTGGGAAAGGCAGCAGGGGGGGATTAGGTTAGGAGATGGGGCAGTTTAGAGGGAAGAAGAGTGGGACACCCCCGGGGGAGTCCAAGGAGGCCTGGCCTGGAGAAGAGTGAGATTACCCCCCACTCCCCACCGAGGGAAGATGACTAAGGAAGCCCCCAGAAGGGCTGAAGGGAGAATGTCCCAGGGAAGTGAACTGAGACACTGGAGCTGGGTCCACAGCAGGCAGGGGCAGCCTGGCAGGAGTAGGGGTGTCATGGCTTCTCCAGCTGGACATCTCCTATGTTGAGGCTGCCCACATCCTGGTAGGTGCCCTGGAGGCCCCGGGAGATGTCCTCATACATGGAGCAGTCGTCCAGGTTCAGGCCCTGGGGTGGAAACAAGGCAGCGAACATCAGCACCCTGACACCTGGGGTCCCTGTCCCCAGCCACCCCCAGAGGGAACGCCCCCACCCCTAACACAACTGCCCCACCCCATTGCCACCCTTCACTCACTTCATAAAGGTTTTCATCCTCATATTCATCCCCGGCATCCAATCCGAGCTTCTCATTCTGCCATCGTTTCTGTGGGGGTGTGTGGGGTGGGTGCCTCAGTGAGCGGGGGGAGGTGAATATCTTTCAGACCCTCCTAGATGCCAGGAAGTGCTTTTCCAGAAAGGATAAGAGATGTCCCCAAGGCCACATACTGGTAGCAGTTCTCTGTGAGTTTACAACCGGTGTCCTTCCTTCCTTCCTTCCTTCCTTCCTTCCTTCCTTCCTTCCTTCCTTCCTTCCTTCCTTCCTTCCTTCCTCTTTCTTTCTTTCTCTCTTTCCTTTCCTCTTTCTCCCTTCCCTTCTCCTTCCCTTCCCTTTCCTTTCCCTTCCTTCCTTCCCTTCCTTCCATTCCTTCCCTTCCCTTCCTTCCTTCCTTCCTTTCTTCCTTCCTTCCTTCCTTCCTTCCTTCCTTCCCTCCCTCCCTCCCTCCCTCCTCTCCTGCACTTTCCTTCCTTCCTTCCTTTCTTCCATCCCTTCCTCCCTCTCTCTTTCTCTCTTTTTTTCTTCTCCCTCAGCTGCCCAGGCTGGAGTGCTGTGGCAACATCATATTTCACTGCAGCCTTGAACTTCTAGGTTCAAGCGATCCTCCCACCTCAGCCTCCTGAGTAGCTGGGACTAGAGGTTAACCATGCCTGGCTAACTTTTTTTTAAGACTTTTTTTTTTTTTTTTGATAGAGATAGGGTCTTGCTGTGTTGCCCAGACTGGTCTCAAACTTGTGGCCTCAAGTGATCCTCTTGCCTCGGCCTCCCAAGTTAGCGTCTTCTTGACTCTCCACTCCCTTACTATTCTCCATGAATAATAACAGTAACAGTCACACTTTCTGTGGGGGCTAAGGAGAGGCCGGTATAGATCACAGATTCTGGGAGGACCCCCAGGCCCCACCTTCCCTGGTCTTGGCTATACCTAGAGGGTAACCACACTCTGGGGTGAGGGCAGGAGGAGAGTGAGGACACTCTTAGGGGGAAGAATGAGACTCTTTTTGCAGGGAGGTGGACGTGAGGACAGCCCAGAAGGGGAACTAAATTGAAGACACCCCCTGGGTCCAGCGCCAGTTCAGGTCCCTTCTTTATATTCTTTCATTTAACTTCTGCAGCCCCTATGTGGTGGGTGCTTTCATTCTCCCAAGTTTTGGATGGGAACCTCAGGCTCTAGAGGGCTACCTGGGCATCGGGGGGTCCCTCAGTCCAGGCCCTCGCCCGGTTGACTCGGGGGTCCGAGGAGGCTCACCCTGAACAGCAGCAGCGTCCCAGGCACCACCGCGCAGAACAGGAGGATGATCCCCTCAGCTGTGATGATTCGGTTCTTGGTGCCCTCCCCCATGTCCAGGAAGGGCCTGGGGGGCGGATCTGCAAGGGGGTGGTGTGGCTCAGAGCCCTGGCACCTCCTGTTCTCCCTAGCCTCCTGGACCCGCCACCCCCTGCAAGGCCCCAGACCCCTCAGAGCCCCGACTCTGCAGAGGAGAACTTCAGTCCCTCTATCCAAGCCGGTTTGAAACCCACAATGAAAGTACTGGCTCTATCCCCACTTCAAAGAGAAACCGAGTGTCCCCAGTGGGAAAGTGGGAGTAGGGGCCAGGGCTGGGCCACTCACGGCGCACACGGAGGTAGGTGCCGCAGGACTGCTGGTGTGGCTCATTGCCCTCCTGGACCCGGCACAGGTATATGCCCCCGTGGCTCTTGTTCACGTTCTGGATGGTCAGCGTACCATTGTAGCCCTGGCCCTTGCCCACGAACTGAGGGGGCCACGTGTAGTTGCCATGGAGGACGCGCCACCAGGTGACATTGGCGTTGCTGCCATTGTGCAGGCATTGGAAGTGGGCCTCTTCCCCCAGGCTCACCATCAATGATGTTGGGCCCCCATCTACCCACAGGGCCTGGCACCCAGGGCCTGTGGAGAGGCAGGGTGGGTGGGTCAGGGACTAGGGATGGCGACACATGCCCCCAGCCCTGGCCCCTGCAGCTCCAGCACTCCTGGGAAGAGGGTGAGGACATGCCTGGGTGGGGAGGGGAGGAGGGTGAGGACTCTCCTGGGTGGGGAGGGGAGGAGGGTGAGGACTCTCCTGGGTGGGGAGGGGAGGAGGGTGAGGACTCTCCTGGGTGAGGAGGGGAGGAGGGTGAGGACTCTCCTGGGTGGGGAGGGGAGGAGGGTGAGGACTCTCCTGGGTGGGGAGGGGAGGAGGGTGAGGACTATTCTGGGTGGGGAGGGGAGGAGGGTGAGAACTCTCCTGGGTGGGGAGGGAGAGGGACAGCCCCTGACAGGGGCTGATGCATCCTGGGGAGAGGGGGATGCGGGAAAGTGAAGAGGCCCCTGGGGAGGGAGAGAGGACAGAACTGGTTGGGGTGGGGAGGACATCCTGGGGGAGGAGAATGAGACTCCCTGGGATGGTGAGACCCCTGGGAGGCCCTTCTCACCTCTGCAGCGCCATCTCTTGCCCCCCTCCCACATACCCACTTTGTGCTCTGGGCCCTGTGAACTCTCTGGAGTTTGGATGTTTGTTCAAGGCACTGGAGGACCGCTGTCCAGACAGCTCCTTCCAGAAGCA